GCTGTGGCGTCTGCGCCACTGGAAGCTGTGGCTGCTGTGGCGTCTGCGCTACTTCCCTCTTCCTCTTCACATACACACACACACACACACACACACACACACACACTCACTATACCTTTACCTTGCTCTCTTTCTCTCTTCTTTCATCTCCTTCCCTCTCTCTTCTTCTATCCCTCCCCCCTCTCTCTCTCTTAATACTGGCTAAGTTAGCAGCCTTGACATAAAATACTTGAAGCTGAAGATAAACAGATCAAGCGGACCGGATACACTAGCTGCAAGAGTTATAAAGGAAGGTAGGAACAAAGTCACTTACCCACTAACAGTAATATTTAACGAGTCACTAGAAGAAGGTAAGGTGTCAACAGGCTGACAACTAGCAAATGTTGCTCCTGTATCTGCAAAGATGGATAAGACTTGAGTCCCCGACTATCGTCCCACCATCTGAACGTCTATTTGAGATAAACAAATGGAAACTGCTTGTAGGGATACGATAGTTCTTTTTTTAAATAGTAACTTAAAACGAAAGATCATGTGTGACTAATTAATCGAATTTTTCAGTTATTTATTCCAAAACTGGGATAAAAACGCGTATTAGATCAAGCATAGCTAGTATTCTAGAACGCCTTTGACGATTTACCCTATTGAAGATAGCTGGCCGAAATAAAGACACGTGGTATAGAGTACAAACTTCAGGCCTGGATAAGTCCCTGGTTCATAGACAGGATACCGAAAGCTGTACGTAACGGAGAGATGCCTGAATGGCTTTCCGTAAAGAGTGGAGTACTCCAGGGATTTGTTCTTGGTCCAGTTCCTTTCACAATGTACATAACTCATCTCGAGGCAGGGCTAACATCTGAAATAGCAAAGTTTTAAGATGACACCAAATTGGGAAGAAGTGCAGCATCCGCAGAGTGATCTGGACAGGTTGGCGCTGTGGTTGGAGACGTGAAAGAGGAATTTCAATGTAGACAAGTGTAAGGGGAATAATCTCAAAAACGAATACAAACTGTTTGATAACAGACTAATCGAAACTAGAGAAGAAAAGGACTCTGGAGTAATCATGATGTAAACAACGACCTTAAAAGTAGCTCGAGTGGGTGTCCCGTAGCTCGACTGCTAGCGCACTCAGCTCACACATTGAGGTCCGTGGTTCGATCCCCGGTACGGGTAGAAACATTAGAACGTGTTTCCCTAAGACACCTGCTGTCCCTCTTCACCTGTCAGTAAAATAGGTGCCTGGGTGTGAGTTACATCCTGGAGACAAACTTTACCTAATTTGCCCGAAATGCTCTACGTAACAAGGGGCTTTACAGCATGTCACTGATGTCAGGTATGGTCTGTATAAGTTGTACTTGTACTTGTAGAAATAAAGGTTATTATTAAACAATGCATATCTACTACTAGGAGAACTGATAGAATGTTAGATTTAGTAATAAGAAACTTTCATCATAAAACACCAGACGTCATATTGATCCTCTATAATGAGCTTGTTAGAACGAAGATTAAGATATACTGATAATGGTACAGAGAAGAGCTGCCAGACTCCTGCCATCACTAAGAAACAAACTTTACAAAGATACAAAACACTCATTCTTCTTTGTCTCTCTTTCAGGAAATATAGACTATAAGATCTCATAGAATTTCTTCCTTCGAGACATTGAATGGCTTCCATACGAAGAACTATTTGAAGTACTGAATGAGTCCATTAATGAAAACAATGAAGGAGTTAGGCAGAAAATATAACACCACCGTATGCAAAGTATTTTTTTCAAACAGAATTATAGCAGAATGAAATAAACAACCGGCTAATGTTGTAAGCGTGAAGACAATACAATCGTTCAAGAACCAGCTGAACAACCACCTTCGGAGTGTAGGATTCAACTAGACACATGGTGCCCTAGCGGGAGGAATTACCAGAGCCTTCAAGACATATATTCTCAGTGTAAACCTATCAGTCAAGATTGCTGAGTCAATCCAAATTATTTTATATGTTCGAAAAAGTGATAAAGAGTTATAATGAGCAATTAAGTATAGGGAATGGTAAGGGAGGACAAGAGTAAGATGTTGCCTGGTACACTCGCTGCCTCATTCAACCACTCACTAATCCAACACTAAACTTAGGCAGACCACCGTATACATACAACAAATTGGGAAATCTGAAGTAAATAGAATCCTGATGTTTGATCAGGAATCTATTTACTTCAGATTTACACCATGACCACCAGTTGAGGACGGGGCAACCCCGTCAACAATAGCAGTAGTGAAATAAACAGACGGTTGTGGAGTCATAAGGGAACTTATGGTAACCAGAAGTAGAACGACTAGCACATACAGCTGTGAGGGACACCGGAGTAACACTAGTAAAAATAGTACTGAGATAGTCAAAGCGGAGCTACCTGTAGCCAGAAGTAGAACTAGTACACACAGCTCTCTGAAGGATAGTGTAGTAACACCAATAGATAAGCTAGTAACAGTACTAAGGTAGCAGAGGTAGTTGTAATCCAAGCCTTGCATCTAGTTTAATGTCCCCTGTAAATTCCGTGTTATTGTTTTCAGTGTGGCATGGTGTGTGTTTTACCCTTGTTTTCATACCTGCAGCGGTCGGAAGGTGGGAAGAGAGCCTTATGCTTTTCTAATATTTGCCTCACACATCTAAATTTTACACGATAGTTCTTAATCTAAATAGATGTAGATAGTTCTTTCCAGCAGACAGTCTGAGTGCCACCTTAAAGTCTTCTGCTGTCTGTCTTATGTACTCCCACGAGTTCCTGTGTACTTCATGTACTCTCTCTCTCTCTCTCTCTCTCTCTCTCTCTCTCTCTCTCTCTCTCTCTCTCTCTCTCTCTCTCTCTCTCTCTCTCTTCTCTCTCTCTCCTCTCTCCTCTTCTCTCTTCAGCTAACAAATCCAGGTCACCACAGAATGACTAAATATTCATGAGAAGTTGAGAAAAAATAGAAATTTCTATTTGTGTAGTTTCCTACAGCCATTTTACGCTCGTCCACATAGCTCCCCCCCCCCTCAGCACTCTTTGTGTGTGTGTTGTATATATATATATATATATATATATATATATATATATATATATATATATAGTATATATAGTAGATAGATAGATAGATAATAGATAGATAGATAGTCGATAGATTACTGTAAATAGACTATCATTCATATCGGAAGCAACGGTTGGCGTCACCACGCTACCTTACCATGTGAAAAATTTCCTCATTCCACCCGTTGCTCTCTTTACAACAACGCATAGCACCTGATGACGCATTGAGACTGTGAGGATCTGAGCTGAAGATTCCATCCCCCGTGAGTTGGTTGCACACACACACAGCACACACACACACACACACACACACACACACACACACACACACACACACACACACACACACACACACACACACACACACACACACACACACATCTTCTTGGACATCTTCTTGGACTGCAAGAAGGCCTCAGACACAGTTCCTCACAGGAGATTGGTGCAAAGCTGGAGGATCAGGCGCGTATAAGAGGAAGGGCGCTGCAGTGGATCAGAGAATACCTGACAGGGAGGCAACAACGAGTCATGGTACGTGATGAGGTATCACAGTGGGCACCTGTGACGAGCGGGGTCCCACAGGGGTCGGTCCTAGGACCAGTGCTATTTCTGGTATGTATGAATGACATGATGGAAGGGTTATACTCAGAAGCCTCCCTGTTCGCAGATGATGTGAACTTAATGAGGAGAATTAAATCAGATGAGGATCAGGCAGAACTTCAAAGATACCTGGACAGGCTGAACACCTGGTCCAGCAACTGGCTTCTCGAATTTAACCCCGCCAAATGCAAAGTCATGAAGATCGGGGAAGGGCAAAGAAGATCGCAGACAGAGTATAGGCTTGGTGGCCAAAGACTGTAAACCTCGCTCAATGAGAAAGATCTTGGGATGAGTATAACATCGAGCACGTCTCCGGAAGCACACATCAACCAGATAACTGCTGCAGCATATGGGCGCCTGGCAAACCTGAGAATAGCGTTCCAATACCTTAGTAAGGAATCGTTCAAGACACTGTACACTGTGTACATCAGGCCCATACTGGAGTATGCAGCTCCAGTTTGGAACCCACACCTGGGCAAACACGTCAAGAAATTAGAGAAAGTGCAAAGGTTTGCAGAAGGCTAGTTCCGGAGCTCAGGGTAATGTCCTACAAAGAAAGGTTGAGAGAAATCGGGACTGACGACTTTGGGAGGACAGGGTGGTCAGGGGAGACATTATTAACAACATACAAAATACTGCGTGGAATAGATAAGGTAGACAGAGACAAGGTTGTTCCAGAGAGGGGACACAGAAACAAGGGGGTCACAGTTGGAAGCTGAAGACTCAGACGAGTCATAGGGATGTTAGGAAGTATTTCTTCAGTTATAGGTCGTTCAGGAATGAAATAGCCTAACACAAGTGATTTGTGGAGGCAGCAACCATACATAGCTTTAAGACGATAGTATGACTTCAAAGCTCTGGAAGCAGAGACGAGGAGAGGGACCTAGTACGGCCATGATGAGGCGGCTGTCCAGGAGCTGTTCTTCGACCCTGCATTCAACCACAATTGAGTCACATGTACTCTCTCTGTCTCTCTCTCTCTCTCATCTCTCTCTCTCTCTCTCTCATCTCTCTCTCTCTCTCCTCTCTCTCTCCTCTCTCTCTCTCTCTCTCTCTCTCTCTCTCTCTCTGTCTTCGTCCTTCCTCTCAACCAGTCTGAAGAAATACTCTGACTTCCTACCGTGAATAACTTGAGCCATTTAAATTTCCTAAATTCAACCATCTAAGCATCGGGTACTGTGAATTCTTGGCAGCGCCAGAAAATCTTAACGAGTTTTACTAACTTATAATATTTGTAAATCGTTCCTCAGCACTATAACTCCCCCACCAAAATGTTGAGGGACCAGTTCCTGGACCCATTATGTATCTCTGTAATCTTTTGACTGTCACAAGGTGATTGTGGCGTCCATG